ACAAAATGTATCTTACTGAGTGTCATTACCGACCTCAAGTTGCGAAATCTATGTTTCTCCAACCACTTTATGAGTTAGAAGTTGAAGACACATTAAAAACTGTTCCTACTGAATGTTCTGCTGAGCGCGATGAAAATCCGTGTTCTATGCTTCTTCATACTCTGGAACATTTCATTTAAAAACCCTAATATTCCCGATTCACAAGAAAGGCGATAAGGGTGCTGTTAATAATTATTGTGCTTTCGCTTCCCATTGGCTTTCTCGAAAGTTTCCAGTTCGGTTTTCAATATGTTACCCAAGACAAAGAAATCTGTGCCCAAGATACTATGTTATACACTTTCATTCTTCACTGCCTGGACAGTAACGAAAAAATAATTTTGGATCGCTCTAGAGTTTTCAACAGAGTAAACCACATACTGCTTGTCGATGAGCTTCGAAATTGCGACCTTAGAGGCCCTGCTCTTAACTGGATCGAATCTTTTCTTTCTCAAAGATCACAAGAGACTTTCATTCAGATGAATGGCATAAAATAAGCCTCTCCTTCTAGAAAATTTCTCACAGGCGCCCCTCAAAGTAGTCATAGTCATTTCATTTCCGTCATAAATGGAATTTTCGAATTCAATCCTTTCTTATTCGAAACTTTGGAGTCCACTCTCATGATCTCAACACCCTCTCTAATATTGCCACTGATGCAGCTTATGCTATGGATATATTATGCAAAAACAACGGTCTACGTTTGAACAATTTCAAAGATGATATGATTTTTTTTCTCACGATGGATATAAAAACCAGTGTCAAGCTGGGAGGACAGTCTATCGAAGTAATGTGGCCAAATTCTTGGGAATTCGTCTGGACCAACAAGTAACTTGGATCCATCAAATTGCCTTTATCTGCAACAGAATAGCCAATCACTGTTTTATACTATGGACTCTCATAGATTTTGAATCACTCCGCACACATTCATTCAATTTTGAACTACTCAATAATATGCTGAGAAAATTGGTCCAGAATATACTACGTTCTTGTAATGCAGAAGCGATCACTGAGAAGTATGACCGCCAAGTATGCCATATATTCGTGCAGAGTGTTCTGTATGTGTATCTGTAGATTAGGGAGGGCGAGTGTAAGCCCACAGTACTTAGGCCACATGTGACCCATTGTACATCCTCCCGAGGAGTTGTCCTCCTAGGTCATCGTCCATCCTGTCCTTTCCAGGAAGGTGGACAGGTCACTGGGAGACATCTCCTTTATATCGGCAGGTGTAAGCCAAGGCTCACCGAACACACACTCTCTTATTGATGATAACTCCGGGCACTCGCATAGGACACACATCCTGCATAGAGGTGTGTCCACCAGCCCCATATTATGGAGGTGTTTCCTTAGTTGACAGTGACCAGTCAGAAATCCTTCTATTAGGCGTAGATTTTTCCTGGTCATTGCCAAATATTTCTTCGGCGCCAGAATCCCAGGGTCACCCATGGTGATCCTGGCAACATTACATCCTTTGGTTTCGTCCCATCTCTTTAAGGATTGAGCATGGATGTAACACTTGACTAGTTTCGCAATTGTCGAAGTCATCAAGCCGTAGGTGCCACGGGGTCCTAAAATTCTTAGTCCATATAAGACCCCTTCCTGTGGACATCCCCTCATGACCAGTCCTTTCACTGTGATATCTTCTACATTCATACTTATTGCTCTACTAGAGAGCATCTTGAGTATCCATTCTCCTACTACCAGGGGTACATTCCTGGAGTGTAGTTGCTGGGTAATTGTTGGAAAGGTTGTTTTATCAAACGCTCCTTCGATATCTGTGAATATACCCTGGGTGGATTCTTTATTGTCCAATGATCTCTCGATTCTGCCAACCACATGGTGAACGGCAGAATCAGTAGACCTCCCCGGAGTATATGCATGCTGATTTGGATGAAGTGAGTGTGAACTAGTACTTCATCTCTTAGGTACCGCTCACATAGCCTCTTCCTGGTTTTTAAGAAAAACGATGTGAGTCTAATTGGTCGGAATGCTTTTGGTGGGGTGTTGTCCATCCTACCTGGTTTGGGTATAAATACTACTCCTACTTCTCTCCACTTACTGGGAATATACCTCAGAGCTAGAGAGGCTCTGAATATACCAACCAGGTATATCTTATACCGTCAGGTCCTGGTGACTTGAAGGGGGAAAAGCCCGATATAGCCTATCTTATTTTGTCCTCATCAATTACTGCACTAGCAGATAGCCAGTCGTATTGTGAGGGTGTTGTTTGTACATCCGTCCAGTTCGTCGTTCCAGGAAAGACAGAACCTGGGAAGTGAGTTTCCATAAGAATCTCAGAACTCTTCTGGAGGTTGGCGGCTTTGTCGCCATTTTCCCTCGTCAGAATGCCGATACTCTTATGGTGGTCATTTGAGAGTGCTTTCTGTAGCCTAGAAGCTAGTGGGAAGTCTTCGACTGCCTCACAATAGGCTCTCCAGGCTTCTCTTTGCTTTCGTCTGCAGACTTTTTTGAACTCTCTGAGATTGGCTTGATATATACCCCCGTCCTCTTCAACTCTTGTACGTTTTGCCTTGTTAAAGGTCGTTCTCGCTGTCTTCCTGGGGTGTTCCAATTCAGGGCACCACCATGTGTTGGTTGTGCCATCTGTTTGAACCATCCTCATCGTGCAGAGTGTTATTCTTATACTTTGGAATCCTTACGGATATTTATTTGCATAGGTATTAAAAATTGTGTCGAATTCCTTCAAGTTTATGATAAGAAAGTATATTTTCTTGAATACCGATAACAATTTTCAAGACCACTTTTTTCTCACGATTCCCGGGTCCAGAGTGAAAAGTCTAAAATTCAGATTTTACTCTCTTGACAGCTGACTTCTCTGACTTTCTATATGTAGATATTTTTATCTTCATATTCAGGTTTCCATATCTTGTCCATCATTATTATCTATTATTTTGCATTCAATATTAGATTATCCATTCACAACATCAAGTTCAATGTTTTCATTGGATATATTTCGGTATATCCTTTCCGAAGCTCTGGTCTATCAGATATATTCCTCACAGTCATACGGGGCTGTGGAGAATAATTCTTTAGAGTTGTAGGGGGCTGTAGATAATCAATCATTCCTCAGAACCGTAGGGGACTGTGTGGCATGGTTAAGTTGTTAGAAAATCAAGTTTGTAAATGCACAAAATGGAAGTTCCATTTACCGTAATTGGGGTACTGTAAAGTTTTATCCAGTTCTTCAGCATCAAGTTTTTATCTGATTGTTTATCTGACGTCAACACGGTCAACTGACAATAAAGATGTTTTTTACCGAAGTATGCGCTGGTCAGGCCCTATCCCCCGAAGCCCCGATACATTCGGGAGGGCGCGCCGTCATTATCAACCAACGATCACTCCCCACACCGTGGGGTAAGTGATCATTGGATCCAATAATCATGTGCCCTGAGCAAGCGCAGTGAGCCAAGAATGACAGCCTTCTGCATCGGTCCGTCTAAGATTTCTGCCTTAGTGCGGCACGCCGAGAGAAGAGAGGGCATCTGTTTAAATCTGTTTAAATCTGTTTTTCCGTTAACCAGCTGTCGCACCCCTACGAACGACTACCCTCAGAAGTCGAAACTTGTGCGAGCTAAGGATTAACGAGGTCTTACCTTTTAACGTGTGATTCCTAACACGTGTTGGACGATAGCAAGTGAAGATCGATCGTTCAGACTAGGGCTTGAACCACCGACCAACACGGCAGTCAATTCGAGTGAGTGAACAAAGCACCCATACCGAACCGCTTGGCTATCGACCGATGGCTATCATTCCATCAAAGATTCCAATAATCAGAAGAACCGTCTTGAGAGAGTGGTCTGGATAGAGTCTGCGGAGTTCGAAGAGAAAATCTAGATATTTTATCCGTTTTTTTCTCCTCTTTTCGGACGATATTCTTCCCTCCAGAAGCTGAAAACTCCACGACAAATATCGTCTTGCTCTGGTGGCCGAGAAGGACTACAGCAGGCTTACTAGCTTGTATGAGCCTGAGGGTGGGAAACAAATAGTTCCAATAAATTTGGCACTTCCCGTTCCCCACAATAGATTCAATATCCCCTGGAGCGTAGGGCAACACCGGTGTCTCGTCAATGCCGTAAGAGTTCCGTAGATGATAATATAGCACTCTTAGGGCCGCGTTATGTCGATGGATATAGACCGATATCGCATATGCTGGACTTGCTGATAGCAAGTCCAGCATATGCCCATCACGTGACTGCGGTAGACTAAGGTGTTGATGACACCATCCTGGCAAGCCATGATTAACCCCTCAGTTGCCGATTTCAGCCCCCTCGACCTGAGGAAAGCAAAAGTCAGGCGCTTTGATAAGCCAAGGTCTTCAATGTTATTGCTCATGCATTGCTTATCCTTGTGTTTCCGCAGAGGTGAGGTGATCTCTGCGGCTTTTATATGAACATTTTGCTGAACGGGTTCCAACTCGGTGACAGAGTTGTTGTCACCTCGTTCAGTGTCGAAAACTAAACCGAGTTCACCAGCTGCTCGGGCAGCTGCCCTGAAGAGAAATGTTCCAATTCCTGCTCTCTCATGGTCACGGGCCATGTAGAGAAGGGGATCCGAACTTCGAACTGACAATAAAGGTTATTATTATTATCATTATTATTATTTAGATAGTCATCAACCACCTCAGAAATACAGACAGGTTGTCAGAGTTTGGCAGAAAATAAAACTTAATTCCCATTGTCAAGGAATGATTTCAAAATGTCATCAAGTTCCAAAAAGTTGCCAGTTCCAAATGAATCTATACAGAAATCGCTATTATTGTATTGCGATAGTGCCTCGACGAATTTGGAGTATTTTTTCATTTGGTTTCACAACTCTGAGTCTTATCTTTGCTGGAACTGTCAGACATGAAGTTTACCTAACCTATCGATAATGAGTGATTGTAAATCAAACCCATTTTTCAAGCACATGAATTGAAAAATTATCTCAGCCACTGAAATAAATAGGACGATCGCTTATTGATTAATCACAATACGCTGATATTCAAAGTGGAGAGCATTAAACATATTTTCCTGAACAGAGTAGCTTGAAGAAAAAAATCAACATGTGCTCAGTTTCTGTAACTCCCGCTTGTGTACCTTTGCCTTTGCCAGACCAACAACTGAAAGACTTGGTGAGGAAAACTAGAGACTGGGCGATCTTGCATGGGGCCTCGATGAGATCAAGACGCAACTTCAGCGAGGATTCGATACAATTCGCTCCTTTCAATCTGTTTCCGTCTACTTTCCTCAAGAAAGATTTTCAGAAGGTGGTGGACGTACAGGCTACTTTCCAAGAGTTGATACACAAAGTTGCCCATGATGGGGAGTTTTTGAGGAAATGTCTCAAAGATACCATCCAAGTAGACGAATTCACTGGAAATTTGTTCAAAATATATGAGACGGTGCAAAAAGAAGGAATAGTGCAGGTGAGTTTTTTTGCTGTTGATTATATTGTCTCATTTTGAAAAATACTTAGTTGAAAGAAGAAAAATTTTCATTTCCACATTAGAAAGTATGTAGTGGAAATGGTAGTTTCAAGATAAGGTCTAAAAAGGGGCTAAATTGAACCACATATTCTGGGGTTGAACATAACTCGATTGGATGTAACACACCTCAATGTCAATGTGTACACAAAGAAAGTTACAGCCCTTGGAAGGTACAAAATGAAAATCGATTTTTTCCGATATTTTATGAACCGTTGAACATGACTTTCTCATCGTGAGATCATCCTATTCATATTTATAGTAACCACGAAATCTGTTCAGCCCATAAAAAAATTAGGAGGGTATTGAACCACTAAAACGCCCTAACCTTTTCTATATTTTGGAATCAATTTGATAATGGGACACCATTGGTTATATATTATTTTTTGATTTTTTTAACCTCGTAGCACTCTTTCGAAAAGCCAGTCTTTATAGAGATGCAGGCTCTTTTCCATTATCTTTTAAACATTCACGCTTCAACAATTACATTCTATTTGAAGGATAATGAAAAAGCAGTCGCATTTCGATAAAAACTGGCTTTTCGAAAAAGTGTTAAGTGGCAAAAATTTCAATATTCAAGAATGATGTATTAAATCAACTGTTTCACAATACTAAGTTGAAAATTGTAATGCATAGGTTATATTAATATATAATTATCTTACGATAAAAAGGCCATGGATTCATTTTAATTTCGATATGTTGAACAGTTCATGAAATATTAAAAAAAATCGATTTTCTTTTTATATTTTCCAATGACAGTAACTATTTTGTGTGTATATCTGTATTAAGGTAAGTTATCTCGAATCGAGTTATTTTTGACCATAGAATATGTGGTTTAATTTATGAACTACATTTTTGTTACACCCTGTATATAACAAACATTGTCCTCAAATTAGTCGGAAATCAAATAGAAATAGCAAACTGGTACTTCTTCTACGAGTTAGAAATCACAAATTTGAAACCAGGGTTCTTGATAAATTCAGAACTGGAGTGTTTCTAGGAAGAAACAGCCGTTGGCAAAGAAAGTATTAGATTTGGCATATATTAAATCAACCGAATAAGTCGTCAGAATCAGATGGCATTCATCTAAAAATGGTGCAAACAAACTAAAAGAAAAAACATGAAGATTCATCAAGACAATCTTTATTCTGATGAAACCTGAGAAAATAGAACAGGATTTGGGAAATGTCCTGACACATCACAATTTCATTCCATTTGCATGAAAAAGCAGGTATATTATATTTGTTCCACTCATCGAAATACACATATAGATACGGTACGCCAAAGTAAACAATGTAATGTCGTTAATTGTTGTTCTACATATTCTTCACGCTGCAAGTTACCACTACCAGTCCTGTCATAATCCTGAACAATTGAAATTTTTCTATATCGATATCGTGTTGTCAGCCAGAAACTTTTTTGGGATACGAAGTAGCACCGTGACATCAATGTTTTAGTTTGGCAATGATACTTTTCATCATAATTATTTTTGAATGATTTTGATGCCTAGATAGGATTGCCTACTTATTTCTATGCATGGCTACCTGGTCGATCCAACCAACCGATAAACCGGTTTCGGGGTGTTTGCCCCATCATGTCATAATGCACCTCTCCGGAATATTAATCATTATTCCGACTCCCACCCCGGAGTATGCTTGTGGAGTTGTTTCCTGGCTCTGTCTTCAGGTGGCGCAGTGGACATCCCACTAAATCAACTGCAGAAAGATTCCATGACTAGCTGGAATTATATTTGTTCGGTCATGATACTAGTCAAGGAAGTTATGGATTATACTGTAGACGACCCCTCCCGATATAGAAGGCCCCGACACTCTGTCGGATGAGGCCCCTATGTCCTCCGTTGAAATATGAACAATTTTTTTATCCAACTCACCCCAGCCAGGTAGGGGTATAACGCGAAGGGCGGTATGGATGTCTAAGGACTTTCATGCCACCATCAAACATCAGTTGTGACCCGTTTGTCCTTCTGGCAAACATCAGTCCAAAGGATAAGGAAGCCAGGCTTCAACCTGTTTGAAATCAAATCAATAACACCGTTCTGAAGATACCATGCCCGGTACTGATGATGGGGCAAACACCCCGAAACCGGTCTATCGGTTGGATTTATGTATGCCTTTTTGTGCTCATTGTACCTTTGGATTAGTTTTTTCTTGGTATGGCCGATATAGAATTTGTTGCAGTCCGATTTCTTTCCAGATGAAGACAATGCTAAAGAAATAAATAACAAAAATTGGCGATGTCAACAGAAAAAAATTCCATCACTTTTTAGGTGAATTGAGAGAGTGTATTTAGATGAAGTTTTTCTTAGTAGATGAATTGGTAGCCGCCGTTTGATAAAATGGGCTTTTGACCTGAATCGAATTGACTATTTATATAAAATAATAAATGATATCAAAAATTGTACATACATTACGGGTAGCCAACATTTCGAGAAATGTAATTTGTGGATAGGCGAGATTTCTAATTCAATTATATTTTTCACAAGGGCAATTATATCCCAACCAAATTCTATTGTTCATGTGAAAAATGCCATTTTATAAATAACAATTGACGTACTTCAAGATACTATATCATTGTCCATGAAAACACATTAAATCTTATCTTCATCGAAGGAATCAACTCTGAAAAACAACACATAAAAACAAATAAGTTTTGTTCTTGTTTCACAAGATATCAGAAAATAGAAAAAAAACATATCAAAATATGGAACAAAATTCAGTTATTTCTCAAGTACACCCAGGTAAAAATACTGTCATTAAAAACATCATCATTATGAGCAAAGATTTTTTCACGTTAAAAGAAATATTAATATGTTTTATTTGTCGGAAAGGAGTTTTGAGTGGCTCGCATGTTTGACCGCCGCTTCTCCAATCAAATCACATTTCCAAGAACAGTTCTCCCTCAACGTGTGGGCAGGAATCCTTGGAGATTATCCATTCTTTATTCCGGGAAGATTGAACGGAGAGAGATATCGTCCCTTTTTTTTTCACTGGAAAACGTGCCACTTAGACTACGAAATGAAATGTGGTTTATGCATGGATAGGTCAAGGAGGATCTCAACCATGGCCCCCTAGGTCACCAGACCTTAACAGTTTGGATTTTTTTTCTGTGAAGATGCCTGAAATCTTTAATTTTCCAGACACCTATCCAAAATGGAGAAGAATTGAGAAATCGAATAAGTAACTCTTGCATATCGATTCAAGATACTCCAAGAAATTTCCAAAGAGTGCGTGAATCAATGAGAAGAAGATTGGATGCGTGTATACACGCAGGAGGTGGACAATCCGAACATTTATTGTGTTTTTGAATTAGATTTATATCTAGTGTTCCGTTATTTATGGTTGATTAAGAATTAGTGTTCCGTTATTTATAGTTGATTAAGAATTAGCGTTTGAAATATTTCTAGGTTGAATAAAAAAATATTTTTTTTTCACTTTTTGACCAACGCATGCATCGATTAATTCAAATAAAAATATTTCAAAAACGGCTGCTATCTATCAACTTTTAACAAGCATACCTTTTTCACGTGGAAATAACAGGGGAATCGATTTTTTTTCCTAGAAAATGTGATTCATACATGCATGAAAAAGTTATGATATCCCAAAAGAGACCCCCTACATTTAAGTGCCAAACTAAAACAAAATTCGAATTTCTCTTATCAAAAAGTCCAAAGATCGTCATCATTTTGAAATTTATTTATGGAAAACCAAAATAAAAATTATGAAAAGAGAAATGAAAATTTCTATGTTTTTTACCACTTTTATTTGTAACTAACGTTACTGCAGTTTCGTCCTATATGGACATTTTCAAACTAATACAATAAACTAACAATGTATCATTACATTCGCCAATATATACCATTCAGGTACTATATTGAGTACCTGAATTTACAGTTCACAATGCGGATGTGCCAATTCAAAAACCGGTGAGTAAACTAAATCGATTTGATCATTTAACAGGTTGCACCCGCAATGTTTATGTTTGTGAATTTCCAAGAATTCTAAATAATTGAGTTTGTAAACCTTTTTTGCATAGTGCAAAATTTCCGTATCGTTTAGATTCGGGAACTTGTGGTTGTATGGCAAGGAATGGTTTGAAAACGTCGCATCATTTTTTCCTAGTCTGAAGGACCTTTCATGTTCAGCATACCGTTTTTGAAAATTTCGACCACATTGCCCCACATGAACACTGTTACACTTCAGACACTTAAGCTTATGAACTCCAGATTTCTCCAACTTGTCCACCTTATCTTTGGCATTGAAAAGGAAATCAGATAACCTGGCATGTGGTCTGAATGCCACTTCCACATTGTTTTTTCTGAATAGACCCGCGGTTATCTCTGTTCTTTTTCCAAAATATATTGGAGCTACCCATTTTTTGATTTCTGATTGTTTGACCTGAGGGTATATTATTCTGAAAGTGAATTTACGGCTTTGTTTTCTGACTAACTTCCGGATAGTATCTGCGTTGAAACCATTATTATGACCTTTCTGTGTAATTATATCGATTTCCCTAGCTAGATTGTTAGCAGACAAATGCAGTGAGAATGCTCTGTGCAACATTGAATTGTAGGCTGCTAATTTATGACTGTCTGGATGGAAAGAATCGCTTAGGATGGTGATGTGTGTATAGCTAGGTTTTCTGGAAACATTGAACTCAAATTTATTCTGATTGTGTGTAATGGTCAGGTCTAAGAAATTTATTTGTTTCTCTATCTCTGTTTCGAGTGTGAACTGAATGTTGCTATTGAGATTGTTCATGAATGTCATAAATTGGTTCAGCTGTCGTGTAGTACCTCTGAAACAGGCAAGAATATCGTCTACATATCTGTACCAAAAATGAATATGTTTTTTACCCAGGTCGGAGTTTACTATCTTGGTCTCCAAGTTGTTCATAAATATGTCTGCTAAAAGTGGACTAAGGGGTGAGCCCATTGGTAAACCTGAATCCTGTTAATAGAATTTGTTGTTGAACTGTAGATAACTCTGATTCAGGCAACCTCTCCGGTTTTTAAATTGGCACATGCGCATTGTGAACTGTAAATTCAGGTATTCAATCAAGTACCTGAATGGTATATTAGCGAATGTAATGAATCATTCTTAGTTTATTGTTTAAGTTTGAAAATGTCCATATAGGACGAAACTGCAGTAACGTTAGTTACAAATAAAAGTAGTAAAAAACATAGAAATTTTAATTTCTCTTTTCATCATGATCTCCTACCACATAGTAACGGCTACATCCATCAATTTATTAAAATAAAAATTAATTTTCAACATTCTGTATCTCAAAAAGCAAGGCCTTGTGGACTCATGCTTGCATGATTTTTTAACCTTATGAACTTGATGAAAATTGATAACACTAATCCATGATAATAATTGAACAATTTTCAGAACACCCTTTATTTCTAAACGGTAAAAAATGTTTATACCGAGAAAGCTACGGTGTTAGTGAAACGCGTCTAGAAATAAAAAATATTTGTACAAATTATTCAATTGAAATCATTGATACTATATTCGATGAAATTAGTTCAAATACAGACGATAATTCTGTCATTGTTTGATTTATTCTACATTGATAAGGAAATAAACTCAAAATCCTGTCTGTAGGTAATCAGTTGAATAATTTTGTATTTTTTATATTTTTTTTTTCTTTCCAAAAAAATTTGTCACTTCTAAAAATATAACCCTTATATGGTCACCCATATTCAATGTCTAACAAAATCGAGTCCATGAGGCTTCACGAAACATATTACTTACAAGCTGGAAGAAGTTTACCCTGAGCAAGACATCGACAACAGAATACTACTGAATAAATTTAATTTCAAAACCGAAGAACCTACTACTCTATTATTTTCATTTATAAACTAGTGAATAATCTGATTGACTGTTGGAAACTACTCTCCCACTTCAACTTTCATGTTCCACGAATTAATATTAGAAATGAACTGACTTTTTATCTACCAAATTCTAGAACAAACATATTACTCAAGTCACCAGTTGTTGCAATGAGCAAACTCTACAATCAACTTTGTGAAAATCTCGACATTTATTATGAGCCCATTAGTCAAGTTAAGAACCATGTTGAGAAACTTTTACACTCTAGTCAAAATACATGAGCCTAACTTGAAAGTTACTCTACCATGAGAGCTTATTACTACTACTGTAATATACAGCTGAATATAAATGACGAAAGAAAGTTAAACATGTTTAACTTTCTTTCGTCAGTTATATGTTCAATTCATTGTCTTTCACTCATTTTTACTGCCCTGAAGAAGCTTCCTATTAGAAGCGAACGCTTGGCAAAGTAAAGTAGAGTTTTGATTGGCGATCTTGCACCATCTATCAACACATGTTGACAGATGGTGCAAGAATCGAAATCTGTCGCGCATATTTTCTTGAGATCTTTAATGTAAGAGCCATGATGTAAAAAAACGGGTCGAGAGTTTTTGACAAAATATTTTACACGGTGAAGGAGTCCATGTGATCACACCAGGGATATACTGAAAAACTATCAGAGATATTAATGTAATTTCAGTAAATTTTTTCAATTTTTTCCAATAACCCTTATTGAAAATCTCAATTGTCATCTGTGGTTACTGGTCAAATAACTGAAACTTTGTTTCAGCCTTTGAACCTGGGACTTTTCAGATGCGATTACATGTTAGAATCTGGCAACGCTAAGAATCAACCTTACCATGAGAATTATCCATGTTGTTGTTGGAAACAAGTAGAATATAATACCATCGCATCGGGATTTGGGTGGCTTGGACCTATTTCTGCTGCAATTCAGAGGTAAAAACATTAGAAACTCACAAAAAAAATATATGAAATCAACTGGTTTGGTGATCTAATAATTTTTTTCAAGAAGGGTCAATTTTTCCTAAAAACAGTTTTGCCAATGTTTCGAATTCAGTTACATTTTTCTCCAGGGTTCGGAAAGTAGTTTCTTCGTATTGGAAATACAACTATTTTGAAATGATTAGACATATTAGATATATGATGCAAATGAAAAATACTGAAATTATCAAATTCTTGCGACGAAAACACTACACAAAGACATGAAACAAACGAATCATTTGTTTGTTTCAAAATAGTTATATTTCCAACACTATGGAACTTCTTTTCGAGCTCTGAAGAAGAATTTAATTAAATTCGAATCGTTGGCAAGGATACAATTATTTTTTTCAAATATCCTGTTATCTAACTTACCCTTTTTGAAAAAAATATATGAAAATTTGTATAGAAAGTGTCATCTACTTAAAATTGAAGCAATGTTATAAAACATTTATATATCGTTCGATTCTACTTTTTCGTAAGGTAGTCAATTGAGAAGTCTACTAGAAGACCAAATTTGAAAAATAAGCGCTCGTTTTTAGGGCCCATGATAACATACGGTGTAGTGACTTGGTGGACAAGAACAAAGTAATCGGGTATGGCTAGGCTATTAGGCGGCATACAAAGGCTTTCGTACCCAAGTGTCATGGGAGCATCCCCAACTGCAGCACTTGAGGTCTTACTCGAACTTCCAACATTGCACATCTACATACAAAGACAAGCTCGACTGGTGACACACAGGCTAATGCAGGGACAAACCCCAATCAGCCAGTCACACGGTGCAGAATACTTGAAACTGTACCCGTGGATAACGCAGTTCCGTAGTGCAACTCTCAAAACGATTTCAAAATCATCATACCAAGCAGGGAGGACTGGCAAATCGGCCCACCGTTAAAAGCGGAAAACAGTTGTTATACAGATGGCTCAAAGACACAAAAAGGAGCGGGAGCCAGTATATACGGAGGCAGAGCAAAGACGAGAATCGCACACACCTTCGGGCATAATGGGGAATGTTCCTCAATTTGGGTTATTACAGCAAATGGAAGTTTGAACAAAACAAAGTTGAGTTCCATTCATGAGTTTTTCAAATTCACTTCGAAAAGTATTCAAATTGATATTTCAAATGTTGGATTTTGATTTTTAAAGGAATTTGTTTCTAATTCACATATTAGCAACAGCGCCTAGCATGCTAGATCGGAGTTTAGGTTACTAGTATGCTGAAGAAGAAGAATCATGTCGATAGTGTCAAATTAAGGCAAAATATAAATTATAGTTCAATACCACCGCCACAAGCCACATAAACAACAATTTTTCTGTTATTTATTTATATAGAGGAAGATAGGTTAGGTGCACAAAATGTCATATGTCACAGAATGTCTCGGAACTCGGAACATAAGTGAACAGAACAGCATGCCTCTGAAATATGTCATCTTTGTTTGTCTCATACAGGTAACAGATTAATTGTCCTTTATTAGCTATTAAAATGCGTTGTTTTAGAGCTCTTTTATGAAAACTACTTGATTTCCGTCAGGAGGAACATTCCCCATTCCAGGCAGAAGACCTGCTAAACCACAATCGAAAGTTTGTAAGGGTAGTGGTGGGTCTACTAACGGGGCATATCCGACTCAGGAAACATATGAGCAACACGGGTCTGACAGAAGAAACCCAATGCAGGTTCTGTCAAGAAGAGGAAGAAAAAGCATTGCATATGCTCTGTGAATGCGAAGCGATAGCAAGGCTGAGACGCGCAAGATGCGGGGAAGAGAAACCAGAGGCTGGAGAAACCAGAGGCTGGAGAGGTCAGTGTCAAGGCTATGGAGTCTCATCAAAGAGATCAAGCTAGACAATGATTCCAACAACTAAGAATCATCATAACCGATCTGAAAAGGTCGCAGTGAATCAGGCCATGGGCCAGCTACCCGACAATCTAATCTAGGGCCCACGTGTATTACTTTTCGATATCAAAAACCGGTAAAATTATTAGCGATTTTTTAAGTTATTCAAATCACATTTATGGTTTTTGTCGGAATTATTTCAAAATGCGTTCATCATTTGAAAGAAACGGAGTAATCAGAATTTTCATCGATATTCTCATTACGGCACCGGATTCACCAGATTTTCGTTAATCAGAATTCCATGGGAATATGTTCATGTTCATCATTGAAACATCTTAAGTACAGGAACAATATATTGAAATGACGCACCGATATTGTATCAAAATAACTGAAAATTATTTCGGAAAGAAAGTTTTTGGCTTTTTAATACTCCATCTTGGTAAAAAAAAAATGTGTGAAAGCAATCAGTTTCAAAAAAAGTAACTTTATACATAGATGTGTGCCTTTACAAAGAAGTAACTTTCAGACACAAATCTGAAAAAAAAGCCTTCATGAAAGAGCTACTTTCATATAAACATTGAATTACATGAAAGAAACAAAAATGTTTTCGAAACAAATACTTTTATTTCCCATTTATTATTCCCATTTATTTCCATTTATGTGAACACTGATTTATATACAAAAACATTTTTCTCTACTCCGTTTGTATTACAAAAACTTTCTTTCCTAAAAATTAATGACTCCTAGAAAGATAACCCTTCCAATTGAAAATTATTGTCGTTGAATTCCGAATTAGTCGATGACAAGAACAAGTAGTTCAATCCCTAATGATTGATACCAGTTCAATTATCGGCTAATCAATAAAAAATGGAAATCATATGTATTCCCGAAGATAATTATAATTACGAGTATCATTAATTACAGGAAAGAAGGATAATATACGTGGGCTGTTCAAAAAATAAGGTGAATGTTCAAATTTCGCGGGCTACGTACATTTTTTTATGTTGGTACACTCGTCTCGAACATTTGTTTACGATTTCAGCTGTTCACTATGTTCGGTTTGTTGGCGAGAGGCATAAAAGTTAAAAGTATGTTGCGTGTTCGGCGATTTTCTGCTATCGAAAAAACCGGACCAAAGAATTTGCATCAAACTTTGTATGAAAAATTAAAGTAAGTCCTCCAAAATACTCGTAATGTTGACAGTGGCATACGTAGATTGTACTCTGTGATGAAAATGTTGAGAAAGTAAAGAAAATTGTTATGTATAATCGTCGAATCACTTTTAGAGAAGTTGCTGAGGATGTCATCATATGGGATGGCTCATGCCAAGCAATTTTTTTGTAAATTTTGGGCATGAAGCGTGTGGCAGCGAAGTCCGTTCCAAAATTGCTGAATTTTGACAAAAAAAAACGTCGCGTTTGCATCGTTCAGAAATATTTGAATGACGTCAACGGATTTGCTTAAAAGTGTCATAACTGGTGACGTGTCATAGGTATATAGTTATGAAAACGAAAACAAAGCCCAATCATCCCAATGGAAGAGCTTAGGAGAGCCAAAATAATAAAATGCACGCCAAGTTCGATCAAATGTCAAGGTTTTGTTTCCTGTTTTCTTCGAATATCATGGCGTAGTGCACCAAGAGTTCTTGCAATATGATCGTAGGGTCAATAAGAAGTATTATCTTGAAGTTATATACCGGTTGCAATATGAAGAAAACTACCGGTTTTGTGGAAAAACAATTCATGACTTGTGTATCATGATAATGCACCTGCTCACTCGCCATTAATTGTTCGTAATTATTTGGCCAAAAACAACAATTTATTCATGCCTCAGCCACTGTATTCACCNTTAAAATAAGTGGTTCGGTTCGGGTGCATATAACTACGTCGAATTCCCACTATGGCGAATTCCTATTACGTCAAATTCCTGCTATCGTGACGATAAAAGCTATTCCCTTTCTCAACGTCAAAGAAATACGAGAGTCCTTGAATCTCAGACCCATTCGAAGTATCGAGTTTTAGACGTAATGAAAATCGACGTAGCGGGAATTCGACGTAAGGGGGATTCGCCGTAGTGAGAATTCGACGTGAGAAAAATTATTTACTCAGGACCAAGGAATATTATTACGTCTAATTCCCGCTACGTCGAATTCTCACTACGTACAACTTAACCTTTCAAGTACGTCATCAAAACGCGAGTTATACCTATAGATTCCTCTGTAACAATAAGTCCAACGAGTGGTGGATGTAAGGACGGGAATTTATCGACATTCATATGTTGCAAACAGTTTTCTAGATAAGGCAGAGTCATTGTTTGGTTCGCAACGTACCCAAATTTTATATTATATCCTTTTTTTATGAAATTATGTCTGGGTGCTATAATCAATGTTGGAGCACAAAATAATAATGATAATATCTATCCAGAAAAATAATGAATAGACGAGGTTCAGCTGAGAAAACTATTTTAGTGACCGTCAAATGACAATTCACTAATATTAGGAGAAGTCGACCTTATATAGACTTCTATGGAACGCAATAATTTTTTGGTGGTTTTCAAATATCCTAATATAGTTATAACAAATGAAAATACCGTAGTGTTTGTATTAATCCTTTGTATATGGATTTAAGCAATAACAATCTACCATTATATTTACAGTTACCTGAAAATAATGCTCTTGATGGGTTGTGTGAGGGAATGTTAGAAGCATGGAAAGCATACGGAAATCCAGAAGCCATAATTTTATTTATTATCGAAAATGTCTCCTATAATATTGCCGACCAGAGATTCCATGAATTCAGACTTAGAGAATTAAGGCCAGACATTAAAGTTGTTAGAAAAACTCTGACCGAAATCAGTGATAGAGGCAGGATCAGCGCGACAAAAACACTTACGATGTAAGTTTTTTATTTATCACCACATTCGAAAAATAATATATCAGAAACAGGTCTATACAACTTCATTTTTATATTTTTACTGTTACAATTAATGAGGTGACAGAATGCTCTGATTTGGATCACGAGGTGTTTTTTATCAGATTGGTATACATGCCCCAGAATTATGATAAGATTTTCTGCTATTTTCATTGTTTCCTTTTTACTTTATTCGTTGCAGCCGCTAAAGTTGGATATGTTTTTATGAGATGAGCGATGTATTTGTTAAAACGGATGGATCAAAGAATGTGTATCAAATGGAGTGTAACGAACTGGGTAAAATGTTAGAAAAGGTCTATGGTGAGATTGCTGAAATAAGAGTTTACGAGTGGTATGAGTGTTTCCAAAATGATCATCAAGAACTTGAAGATGCTGAATGCCCCGAACATCACACATCAACAACCGATGATAACACGGAACAAGTGAAAAAAATTATAATGAACGGTCGCTAAATCACAATCAGAGAAGTCGCTGGCATATCGATTGGTTTATGCCACAAACGTTTTTTGGATGTTTGTTCCGAAATTTGTGAATTTCAAATAAAAACAGCAACGAATAGAAGTTGTTCATTTATGTTTTGTCACATGTTACAACATGTGACAAAACATAAATTTACGTGTTCTTCGATTTTGATAGCATAATACATCATTAATTCTTGTCACGAGGTCGAACGAACAATGAAAAGTACCACCTACAAGTTCAACGCCGTTTGAGGCGCCCCTTCATTGCTTGTGAAAGTTCAGCCTAAACAATACTCTAAGGATGCTCCAGCCTCCATATTAGCTTGACATGGTTTCATGTGACCTTTTCCTATCCCCAAAAATAAATAAAAATCGAAAGGGCCATTTTTTTATAAGCATTGATTGCACTAAAAGCGCATTGTTGAAAGAGCTAAATGTTGAAAGTTTAGGAAATGTTTCGAAGATTGAAAGAAGCGCTGGCCCAAGTGCATACTGAATAAATATTATTTTCAAACCGCGAAAATTCTAGCAATTCTCTTAACATACCTCTTATACACTGCAACCTGTGAAATTGCTATCATATCGTATTGTTTTAATATTTGCTTCAATCTTAGACTCCGCTATTAATTTCTGTTTCAATTGAGATGAAAAATAACCAAAACAATGGTAACCACGTGGTAACCAATGGTAACCTCTCAAATTTATTATTTTTTCAAAAACAAATGAAAAGTAAAGGAAAAGTTATCGTAAAAAATGTTTTAAATTAAATTTTTGTAGCCCCAACAAAGTTTATCTGCATGAGATGATTTTGATTTTTACGTTTCATTTTGGAAATCGCACCACTGTTGCATATCTACAACATAAAACAAACCTACATATAAAATTTCAGCCTCCGAAAATATAGTGGTTGAAATATTTGAAATTCTTTCTCATTGCACATCTACAACATAAAACGAACCTACATATTTCGTACTAAATAATTTCGAATGTTATAATTTTGAATTTATTATTTCTCTTCAGGAATGCGATTGTGATATGCGTTTTAGAATCCTCTTTCTGGTACCACGACAAAAAAGCATGTAGATCCTTTTCTTCCAATTTTAATGATAGACATGACCATTTATACATAAAACGTCGTAGTTGAATCTCTAACATGGTGGGCTCTATTGAATCTCAATTTTATAATGAAAGACTAGGACAGCATGGAAGCGAATGTGTGGTGCGGTGTTTCAAACGATCAAATTATTATGCGTCATGTTAATTTTTAGAGGTGATTCAAATTTTTCCTCAACAAAATCATGGAGATTTTCGTCAATGTCATTTGAAATAATAGTATCAACGATACCAGTTTTATGGTGACCAGATCCTCAATAGAAAACAGGTTTGAGAACTCCTCTTCGAAATAAATAATACACCTTTGGATGTATTATGGAGCAATCCTGACCAGCTAGCTCTTTGGATTTAGTTCCACTTGATTTTTTCCAATCATGAAACCATTGAAGAAAATGATGATTTGCTCCTGCTCAGCTTTTCTTTCAATGTAAAAATTCAATTTTATGTTTCAGAGATGAAGATGAAGTTGCAGTAGTTTACTTCAGAGCAGGGTATGAACCTAATCACTATCCATCTAAAGCAGAATGGGACGCCAGACTGTTAATCGAAAGGTAAGAAGACAGGTCCTTAGGGTGAATTACTTACGATAAGCTCACACTGTTCATCTATCGATACCATCTATCGACCAGCCCGGGCTCCGCGCGGGGGCAATGCTGATTCTAAATATACTATAGATTGTCTTTATACACTGTGTCCGTAAAGTATGGAACAAATTCATTTTTAGCTAAACAGGTCATTTTAAGAAATAATCCTTGAACGATGTTCTTAATAATCAAATATAGTAAATACCTGAGAACATTTGTCTGTTACAAAATCTAGGAAAACCCAAAAAGTGATGTCATCGCAAAAGAAGTCGCAGGCAACAGCTAATCAAAAATATGACCGCAACTGAATATGTAGGTACATGATCAATTTGTAACCGTTGTCCCCAAAAGAGAGAACGATCCTCAAAAATACTTATAACTCCGTTCTACTTTCTACCTTCAACTTTCCGTAGATTAGACAAGAAAAATAGCATGTATTGCCAAATAATATGTATATTGGTGATAATATTTGATCACTACTGTGTACTTTCAGCAGAATAAAAGAACTCATTAGAGAATTAACGTTATACTTATTTTTCGAAACAATTCTTNGAACGTAATTCACCCTGTATATTAGATTATTATTTTAAAATACGGTAAATTACCATCAAAAATCGACGTGTTTCAGGATTATTTCTTAAAATGACCTGTTTAGCTAAAAATGAATTTGTTCCATACTTTACGGACACAGTGTATACCTACAACGTTCACAGCTTTTTTGTCAGTAGACAATACAAACATGTTTCTTTTAGAGGTTACTCTTGAAAGAGCGACATATAATCGGCCCGGTACCGCCGCAACCCTGCATTTTAAATATGTAATATCTTTAAAAATATTCATTCAAAGGACATGCTGTAAGGGGCCATATGTATCACTTCATGGACAGATGAGATAGAGGATATATTAAAGATAATTTTATAAACGCACCTGTTTTCCCCGCTGCTGGGGTCTTATTTGGAATATTCAAAAATCCTTTTTTACTGCATATCTTCAACATAAAACGAACCTACATACAAAATTTCAGCCTTTTAAAATATACCGCTAGTGAGAAATAGCGATGAAAAGGTAATTTTCATATGTAAACGCTCCCCTTTTATCCTCACGGGGGGCTCTCCAGTTGGAATATTTGAAAATCCTTTCTCAGTGCGTATCTAAGACCGATGAAGCACCTATACAGGGTGTTTCAAATTCGATCCTCACCATTGAGATCTCGGAAACTATGAGAGATACGAAGATGGTTAAATTGGGGCAAAGTGGAGAATTTACCTGACTAACAATATGCCGTTGAGAAAGTTCTGAAATTCCGAGTATATCCGGAGGTATCCGAAAAAAACAGAAATTTTCGAAAATGTTTTTTTTTCTGGCTTTATTTTTCGAAGGATTCGAAATTAAAGTACACTTCCACATTGCCACTTTTTCCCTGCTACATGAAAGTGTTTTCAGATTTGCTATCCGACGTTTCGTCTTCCGGCCACCATCATCAACTTTTTTATGGTTGCCACATTGGATTCTTTCTGTTTTGAATAGAACCAGATTTTACCTTTTCAATGATGTATGGCAATGTGCAATGTGGAATGTGGCAATGTGGAAGTGTAATTTAATTTCGAATCCTTCGAAAAATGAAGTCAGAAAAAAAACATTTTCCAAAATTTCGGTTTTTTTAGGATACCTCTTGATATACTCGGAATTTCAGAACTTTCTCAACGGCATATTGTTAGTCAGGTAAATGCGGAACATTGTCCCAATTTAACCATCTTCGTATCTCTCATAGTTTTCGAGATCCCAATGGTGAGGATCAAATTTGAAACACCCTGTATAGTTTCTGAATTTGAGCTTCCTAGGACTTACCAGTACAGAGAAACATAGATGAATGAGTGAATGTTAAGTGACTGACTTTTGCATTTGTAAGTATGGATTGAGAACATTGAGAGAAAAATAGATTTGTCACAGCTATTTCTGAAATTTCCTCTATATAATGCATAGGAGTATCACTTCAACAAGTCCACCTATATGTGGAATATTTTTGAGAATACATTAGGTATCTGTTTTTCTAACAAGGTCCATTTTTGGCTCTCAACCTCTCCAATAGAAGGACATTTTTTTGAAAAATCAAGAAAAAATTATCAGGTATCAATGAAAATGTGACGATCATTCACGATTAGTTAAATTTCAAAACTTTGTGTAGAGATATCATAGGTTTTTATGGCCACCTTCTGAAACTGTTTGTTGCGAATCTTTTCACTCTGTATACGGAGCTGACCTTCAAGCATCATTATGCCCATATGTGTGGCAAATAAATGAATTTTTATCTCCTGAAAGTTATTAACATTTTATAGGAATTAAATGAAAAAACACTTGTTTTTTAAATATATTGTGTATATTTAAAAAACAAGTGTTTTTTTCATTTAATCGCTAGTAATTATAGATATCCTTCAAGTATCGGTCAAAACAATCAAGATATCAATATTTTGTTTATACTTCATAAGAGAATCTGTTCAAAATAATCTGCTTTACATCAACCAGTTGTCGCACCCTTACAAACGTCAACCTTCAGAAGTCAAAACCTGTGGTAGCTGAGCATTAACGAGGTCTCACTTTTCAACATGCTATTCCTGGCGACGGGCTCGATCCACCGTTCCACATAGCGATTGATTAGACGAGTAGACTGACTACTCACATTAACCAACGGTTACCGTTCTTCCTAACATGTATTATTGATTTGTCACTTTTAAGGTCACAATTTTAGAACTATAGCTAATGAAAATAATCTGCAGGTCGAAGGCAATCAAATGCCCAACGATTCAGTATCACTTGGCTGGCACCAAAAAAGTTCAACAAGAATTATCGAAACCAGGAGCTGTTGAATATTTTTTAAAGGACACCAATAAAGTTAACGCAGTGAGAGAACTTTTCGTCGGGCTGTATGGACTCGATTTTGATGAATCCGGCGATCAAGCAATTGAAATGGCTTTGAGAAATCCAGAAAGGTATTTGATATATATTTTAACTTATTTCACATTCACAATATGAATTGTATGATAATGAATATTACTGGAGTTTTTTCCCAACACCAAATCGTTATTTTTACACCTCGACACGTGTTTCGATCACCAAGTGATCATCTTCAAGAGGAAGATAAGTTTTTGGTGTTGGGAAAAAACTCCAGTAATATTCATTACTACACCAAAGGTTCCAAACAGTACATCATGTATGATAATGGTTAATTGATACTCACGACTAAAAATTGCACAAAATCTAAGTATCAAAAAATATATTCAATGAATGACACATTTTTCAAGAAAAAAAGCCACAAATTTTCCTAAAAATGGAATTTAGTAAATTCCGAATGCAAAAATGGACCTTAATAAAATTCGAGTCGGAAAAACAATATTTCGAAGTTCAAGTAGATATTTTGTAATAGTTTTTTGTAAATAGTTTTGTTAACTTTCGAATTATGTTCTTCATAGAAATGGTCATGAAGTTCATTGAACATTTATATTCCGATTGACTGACTGACATACATATGACTGAGGTACATATATGACTGAGGTACATATGGTATATTCATTTTTGTTCTAGTTTCATAATGATGAACACTTTCAATAATTTTGAAGGTACATTTATTTTTGAATACTTGAATACATATTTATTTTTGACAACGTGTCTGCTAGATTCTCGGTTTGAGATATTTGAAAACAATGAGTAATTTTTTAATTCGGTTCAAATATCTAATAATAAAAACAAATGTGATTATTACTCACGAATTATTTATTCATTGAAGGAATTTGAAACAATGTATTCAAGATATAAATAACAGAAAATTATAAAAGATTTTAGAAATTTCCTTCCCCACAGTATATCACAGAATTACCACAGGCTCAACAGAAAGGAATGATTTTTTTAACGTAAAATAATCAGAAATATCAAAAAACATATATATTTTAAACAAATCACCATAAAAACTACTTTGGAAATCATAACCGGCTTAAGTATATGAAAATGCCAATTATGAAATCATACTCTTTCCGATACTAACCGAATTTAGAAAAATAATATCAGTCTCATAAACTATATGAAAACAATAATTGTAGTTGAAATTGGCTTATTTAGGATCTGTCAAGTAATTTAAAAAAACAACTTATTTACAGTTTTGTCAATAAAAAATGTTCCTATTTTTGTTGAAACTATTTTTGTAGCATCCATACTGCCGCATGTCAGAATTATGCGGATTTGAAAATATATTATTATGTTCATAGAAACGTGAAATTTACAGTTTAAATCATTTGTCCGATAATCTGAAAAAATGCCAATAAATAAAATGAAGCATCATCTTAGGCAGTCATTAGGCTCACTATACACGGAAGGAATATTTTGAAGATAAATTTACTATTTTCAATATATAAAAATAATAATACATCTTTATTCGCCATAAAAGTATAATTAAAATTGACAAAAACAGAAAAAGAAAACAACTTTGAGTATAAAGGTGAATAGGTCGAGTATCAGCCAAGGCTTTTTTTCAAGTCAACCTGGAAATAGCAATAATTGAAAAATAACAAAAAAAATCGAGTTAACAGTGATACTGTCATGATAAGACCTGAAAATTTATACAACCGCTACAGAAAATTCCTTTTTGTAATGCCACGGTCGGGAACGGTGAAGAGACTAGACAGTTGAGTAAGTTTTTAGTCTTTTTCAAAAGTTTTTCATTGTATAAGATCTATTTGGTTGCATTATACGAGACGCAGCGGGTGAAGATGAAATATTTGTGTTTGGGTATGACTGAAACTGAACCATTCCGTTTGGTAAAACTATTTATTGTTGAGAATGTTCTAAGTATCTTTAGTAAATAATTAGGTTGGCGAAATATCAAAACTGTATGGGTGTTGATTTTAAGTTTCTCACCTTTTAACCATCCTGATTCTTGCATGGCTGAAGATATGTGGTCATATTTCCGGATACCAAACGGAAAACGTAGATAGCTTTTCTGAATACGCTGTAGACGAAGAGTTGTCTTAAAGCAGGTCTATAAATAGTGTCGCAATGAGAAATTTTTGACATGATCAGTAACATATGTGATAATTTTATAAAATGTTATGTATCGTAGGTAAAAAAAACCTTTCAATGTGTAATCATAGTTAATAATCTATTAGGTTTTCCTTTTTGGATGTTCACTTCTTTTCTCTTCTTTTTCATCAATAATCTGTTTATATTACTTACATGTTCTTCACCCGCTTGAGTATTATGTATTGTACACTTGAACGAATAAAGAATACCTATTTATGTATCTATCTGTTAGTGAAAATTCCTGATTTCAGCCCAAGTAAAGCCTATGCCATGTTATTAGTCAATGCATTATGTAATTCAACTACCATACTAGGTTCAAATTCCCCATGATATGATATTTCTGATGATACAAAGTTAACAACAAATTATCAGATTTGACCTTATTGTTATGAATAAAGTCATTAAAACATACCCTATCAAAATTATTTTGGTTGAGTAATACGAGTAAGGCCTTGAATCAGGTCTCGTGAGATTTATTACCAACATTCGCAGCAGAAAACTGCTAATAGTTAATTAAAAACAGTCAAATAAGGAAGTAAATATTTTTTTGAGAAACAAATACATTAAAAATCATAGATGACATATCCTAGAATGAGACACAATACCTTAGTCTTATATCAACCTGAGCATCAGAGATGTTCAGTAGATGTGTCATAGTCGTATTCCCAGGTTCGTAAAAATTTCGCAATGAACATTCCAAATTGAGCTTTCGTGAATTATTCCCAGGAACATGATACTCTAAGATTACCAACAATTTTACTAAGATTTTCTTTTCAATTTTGTCGATTTTGAAGACGAATAATACCTGTTTTGTTCTACTTAATTGAAAAAAAGTGATATCTGTCCACATTTTTATCAATAGAATAGATCGAATGATGTATTCCGAAAATAACTAAATGGGGAATGTTCCTCAATTTGGGTTATTACAGCAAATGCAAGTTTGAACAAAATAAAGTTGAGTTTAATTCATGAGTTTTTCAAATTCACTTCGAATAGTATTCAAATTGATGTTTCAAATGTTGGTTTTTGTTTATATTACTTACATGTTCATCACCCGCTTGAGTATTATGTATTGTACACTTGAACGAATAAAGAACACCTATTTATCTATCTATCTGTAAGTGAAAATTCCTGATTTCAGCCCAAGTAAAGCCTATGCCATGTTATGCATTATCTAATTCAACTACCATACTAGTCTCAAATATCTAACTGATATATGTCCACATATATCACGTATCTTTCAAATAGAATAGATCAAATGATGTATTCCGTTAATAACGGAATTTATATTGTTCACTTCATAAGAGAACAATATAAATTCCGTTATGCTCAAATGATCAGAATTAAATCTATAGATATCGTTATTTATGGTATCCTAGATAAATATATTCTTTCCTAACTTCGTCTTCGATTGACTGAAGAAAGACGCAGTTGAATGCCTGACTCAATATGATATAAAATAATGAAAAAAATACGGTATTGCTTCTCTGCACGAAATCCATGCTGCATTTTTTCAAATAAAGTGAGTCGTTTCAAGAATGTACACGAGATTTGTTACTGGATTATAATTTTCCATTAGACCTGGGTTTTCTCTTGAAAAAAGCAGTCGCTTTTCCAATTCGATATCAAAATATCCGACCTATATTACTAAAATAAAATCTACAGGTATGTCTTAAAACCACAAAGGGAAGGCGGTGGAAACAACATTTACGGAACTGATATCAAAGATGCTATTCTGAACATGAAAGACAAGATGGAGAGAACTGCATGGATATTAATGGAAAGGATTTTTCCTCCTATCACTCGTGGATACTTGATACGGCCTGGTGGTTCGAATTTACCTCCGATTTCGGAAATGGTGTCAGAGATGGGAATATTCGGAGTTATTTTTGGGTAAGAGAAATTTACCGATAATGATGATTCTTTTTATATTATCAGTATAATAATTCCATATCTCCTCTTCAAGTCCTTTGAAGTGGTAAAAACCGTTTTGAAATTTATAAATAGAACGGAAGTGCATGTGATAGTCGATTTAAAAAGTTTTCAATTCCTTATACACCAATATAATTTATCTTCAATTTATTTGAAATAAATTACATTTTCAATATAGTATGTTAACAAGAGAACAAGTAACGTTTCAAATAATGGAACATAAGTCATTTTTTGTGAAGTGAATCAAGTTTTTATTGAATTCACTGAGAATTTTCACCTTTCACAATCTGAAAAAAAGTTCAATACAAAAATTCAAATTGAAAGGGGTATACTTTTTAGGAGAAACCAGTTTTTGAGGAAAAAAGATCTTGCCTTTCTACTTCTTCATCTTGATACAAAAAAAGTGGGAATCTTCTAAAGAAAGGAAGGAAGCAATCATACAAAGAAATATCTTTCAGACACAAGCTGGGAGAAAAAGCCCTCATGAAACAGCTACTTTCATATAAACATTTAATTACACGAAAGAAAAAACTTTCGAAACAAATACTTTTATATGAACACTGAATTATACAAAAAACACTTTTCTCTATTGAGTTTTTATTCCAAACATTCGTTATGGAATTGAATTAGAAGTCATTCTACACAATATAGTGAATGAAAGTGGTGAAAACATATTTTTTTTGTATCAAAATGGAAAAGTAGAAAGCCAAAACTCTTTTTTTCAAAAATTCAAAACGAGCGCACGACAACGATGGAGGCATTGCTAAACTCCTTTCAAATAATTTTGATGAAGAATACACTAAATTCAAAAATACTTTCATTGATGGATAGGCAATTGAAAACCCTTTCAAACGAGCACCCATATTATACATTTTAAAGGAGATACTATCAGTCCAAGAGAGTTAAAGGAAAAGTAAACATTAGAGTCAAACAATGTTATTTTAAAATTGAAATTCGAAGTGTGTTGAGATTTTTTATGATGTTGTTCATGAGCATCACCATTTTTCTCAGACACCAAAACTGATGGACCGTGTTACACAATTGTCTATCACAAAGTCCATACTATTATCATGTATGAACTCTTCTACCACCTTTGAAGAGTAGATCATTTCTTCCGGAGACATGAAATTCAAGTTCATCTTTAAGGTAATCTGGTCTCCGGAGGTGCTCTACCTCGAATTTTCGTAAGCGTAACAAAAAATGACAATAATAGTACGGTACAGAGTCTCAGAAAATCATCATGGAATACACCCCTATCGAAAGTGACCAGTTCTGTTAGAACCCTAGTCTTATGATAAAGCGAGTCCTTCGGAGTGGTATCAGTTGATCAAGGCATCTCACTATTTTCTCGGGTATACTGTATTGAGTCCTGCATCATACATATATCGATGAGCGGGTTCTCTTCACAGCCAGCTGCTATTCTCTTTGATCCTCTCTGCCCGAATATCATTTCAACTATTCATCTAACTTCGGAGAATAGTGAATAACTTGTGATATCAAGTTAAGGACCCTTCTGCATTTTATAGCGACTATTCGCCACACAGCGGAAGTGAAAGGTTCGTTCGCAGTCTTGTTGTTCATCATACGTTGGATACTAGACGAGTGTTGTTTTGTTTCCATCTTGTTATATGTACATGCATCTTTCAATCTTACACACCGCAAGGTCAGGATTCCGCCCGTCTGATTTGAAAAACAGCTGCGTTGTACATGACGGTGTTGATTTACCAGATGTCAACTTTTTCACAGAAACATCATAGACCTCTGCACCTATTCAAACCAGTTTTGGCTTTAGGAGCCGAATTTTGTGGGGCGCCATGCGTGTACCAAATGTCTCCATTGGTGGCACGATGTGGGTCTCCTTTCTAGCCATGCTGAGAGGTGGTGGATCTGCCACTTCTATCAGTTCTATTTTGTGCGGAACAGGCAATATGCTCTTGGTGTATTTTAAAACAACCCTGCATTCTCAATTTGAATATACCCCTTCGGGCAGGTTCGCTACTCTTGTAACAATGCACAAGGCTATCTCTCATGTGTCCACTCAAAGAGTTTTGTGTCATTGCCGGGGTTTTCAACGTTGGAAAAATCTTCCGTATAAACTCCATCACCTTCGCTCTGACCCTCTGAACAGGTTGTTTGTGGGGCTCTATTTCTCTATTCCTTGAAACGGAGGGGGTCTATCAGACAGATAGCCCTGTGGATTCACGGTCAGCACCAATGGGTCAAAAGAGTTTTTTCTCAAAGATGCCTTTGGGCTGCCAGTCCGATTTTACACCAGTTGCCCGGGTAAGTTATAGTGAAGTTTACCAAAGGCTCTGATGTCAAATGACCACCCCTGCCATTATTATAATTTGAATAGGATGGCGACCGTTGAATATGATTTTGATTGTCAAGTTGGCGGGAATTCGGTCAAAATGTTGAAGAAAACCAATTTCTAAATTGTCGACGTTTCGAAACTTTATTGTTTCATCTTCAGGACTATTTAGGGCGGCAGGTTCCGTTGACACAGACACAGTCTGTATCAACGTCTTTCAGGAACCTGTGTACGTATTTATATTTTATGTCAAAATTATTCACTTCACCCTTCAACTCGGAAAGCCGCCCTAAATAGTCCTGAAGATGAAACAATGAAGTTTCGAAACGTCGACAATTTAGAAGTTGGTTTTCTTCAACATTTTGACCGAACTCCCGCCAATTTGACAATCAAAATTATTATTATTATTTTTAAACCTGAACGATGACGCCGACCAAAGTTTATGCCGTATAGCAGCGACAAACCAGCATAATCTTGAGATTCGAGATATAATTCCTCGTAGTCTTTATTCCTGATTTTTATAAGTGACGTACCTGATCATCTCTTATTAGTTTAATAATCCGAAAATAAACAGAATACTGTTTTTTTGAAATAATTACGTAACTCAGTGTATTCTGATGATAGTAAATTGCCTGAAAATTGAATAGAATGTCATTCAGCCCCATGACATTACCAGGTTTCATAAGAACACTGAAGACTTAGTGCCACAAAACCTCTTCACTTTTATTTGTTAGTAACTTTTGAGATATTCTATTGAAAGGTTTTCCAAACTGAAATACCTACAATTTTGATCAAATAGTATTTTTTATTCACAGGGATTCAGAGAACATTTTGGTGAATAGACAAGTAGGTCACATGTTACGAACAAAGACGTCTACAGCGAATGAAGGAGGAGTTGCTGCTGGAGATGGAGCATTAGATAGTCCTTATTTACTGGATTGTTGACGTACAATAATTTGAAGAGAATTGAAAAAGGTTTTCAATATTGTGATTTTAAGTGTACATTCCTTGTTATTTTAAGGCTAAAATACTAATATTAATTTTATTTTATAATATTTTACATTGAGCGTCGATCTAATTGTAAAACAAATGTTAATATATATTTTAGTTGAAACATGCAGTTCCTCTAGTTTCAGGAAACCATAACAGTATCTGAATACTAGAAAAGATAATAATTTTGTCTGAAAGCTATTAGAAAATATTTTTTACTTGAAAATATAGCACTTTCTTGAAATCAAAAACCTTTTAAAATATCTAGGCAAGAGACAATGGGACCAAAACCTGTCATTGGCATCGCTTTAGGCTATGCCTAACAAACTTTGAACACCTGGATGGCAAGAAGATTTATGGACTTCTGGCAGAATCTTCCAGGATTGGCTCACTCCAAGGCGTTTATTCACCCTTCGAAGCTTGATACCAAACAGTTGTTGGACTACAGTAGGGATGAACTAAGATGTCTAACAGGCCTTCTTACAGGACACTGTCATTTGAATCATCATATGCAGA